TTGGGCGGCTGGTACTGGGTCTGAATGCGGCAAAGTGACCTCCTCTGGCCCTAAAGGTGCTGCCACCCTTGGCAGTTCAGATCGTATACTGCGACTCGGAGATCTAACAAAACAAAACAGTCAAAAATAACTTACTATTCATTCGATAGTCAGAATACTGCCAACTCTGAGTGAAGAATGGTGTGGCAGGCTGTTGTTTTTTATTTGTCGTCTAAAGGTCACTGTATTGTCTTGCCAAAACTTATCAATTTTTCCATAGCATTTAGGAACTTGGAGTATTTATACTGCACCCCCCACCCCTTGCACCCTAGATGGACTACTTACATCCAGTCCAGCACAGGGTTACTCCCTAGCACTATATCTGGGGTACCCAGTCATACACCTGGGAAATTTAAAGAGAGGCACTGTGAAAGTGAAATGTCTTACCCAAGAACACAACGCTATAACTCTGGCCAGTAAGGCTGGAACCTGGGCCATTCTAACCATTAGGGCACCATACCTTGACTTATGTCACAAGTTCTATTTTTTTGGTCCAGGGTCCGAAATTAACTTTTTCAGGCAGGCGCCAACTGGCGACTGAAATTTTTTTTCAGTCGCCACATGGAAAAATGTGGTTGCCAAAAAGTGTCAATAAAATTTTTCCTTCGCAGCGAAACACAAACCAAAATTTTTTGTTGCCAGATGGAAAATTCTGCTTGCCAATTTTTCTTTTAAGAATCAGAACGAAGAGAACGCATTTGGGGCCACAATGATGGCGATTTTTCCGTTAACGATAAGATTAAATACAAACACGCCGATTATTTATACACCTACCACTGAAAACCCATGACAAACGAATTGAATGCCGGCCATATACGCAGTTTCGTGCAACTGCCAAATGTTTCAAGTCAATTTTATACCTTCTCTTGTCTCTACCTTTTGGAGAAGAAATGTACCCGACTGAAAACTGCTGTTTGGTTCTTTGCTCTATGTGCAAAACGATCTTCCCTTTCGCGTTCTGTCAAGACGATCGATAGATCGCCATGTTGAATATCGAAATCTTCCACTAATTTCTTTGTGGATGTTCCGTCTCCACTTTGTAATAAATTACGGAAAGAGTTAAGGACATTGTTGGACACTACATCGCCTGAATAAATGTTCATGGCGAAAGAACGCACATGGCCTTCTGTGCCCGCAATACGTATGTTATGGGAAACTGCTGGAAAAACATGGCGGCGAAGCTTCGCACTGATCGTAGCTGTGAAATGTTGTGGTAGATTTATAATAACAGGAAAATTGATTTTATACTTCAAAAGCAGCGGAAAGGTAAAAAGTATGTGACCAATTGGCGGGCGGCTTTGAATTTTATTTTAATCGATTTGGCTGAAAATCAAAGTTTGTGTAATTATCGTGGCTTGAAATAGTTAATCGCCCGTTGGCGACCAGCTGTGAAATTCTGGTCGCCAGTGCAAAATTTGTAGTTGCATTGGCGACCAGGAAAGCGCAATTTCGGACCCTGTAGTCAGGTAATAAAATTCTAAGTATGAGACGCTAACAATGGCATCAGGGAAACACTAGCCTGAGCCTACAATTCTGGGAACTTCAAAATTGCACACATCTTGGGAAACAAAAACTTGGTCAAATATTTTTTATTAATATGTTCTTCACACAAAGTACTGAGGTTTTGAGATTTTTTGAAGCACTTTAATTTTATTCGTAACTGCTGAAAATTGAATAGCAACAATACCTTTCTGTTCCATATGCCTCTGATGACCACGCCTTCCGACACAATGGACAGAACAGTGCCTCTCTCTGTCTTTTGCATTCTGCAGCCCCTGATCACAAAGATAAAATGAACAATTATACTATTATTACACTGAATCAGAACACAATGTTGTTCCCTAAAAAGTTAGGTTACACCAGGACGAAAACCAACATAGAAGGAGAATAGAAAGCATCTATTGTTGGACATTTAACTTACATGTAATATTGCAAAATGGCAGGGGTCTCATTAAAAGTCCTTTTTCATTGGATTGTTGGTACATTACCCTTAAATTTACACAAACTTACATATTTCCATGCAATGCTGATGAAGTCTGTTGTTGCATCCATCTTGACAGCTTGTTAAGCTTTCACCTTCGACCATTTCCAGCAAGCATATGGGACACACTTCTTCATCCTCACGTGCCTGGGTTAACAGTCCCCCAAGGCCTGATGTGCTTGGGGTTGATGGCGGTGTGCTTCTTTGACCTCTCGACCGCGAATTCTTCAACTGGCCACTTGTGTCTTTTTGCAAGCGTGATGTAACACGAGCGTGGAACTTGGAAAGTAAATTCTCAACCTTGAAAACAAATTCAGGACAGAAAAAAGATGAACTGAAATAGTCAAACCTCCACTAATAGGCATAT